GGAGTTTAAAAGGCAAGCAAGAATGTTTGCTGAGTTACTACGAAGTGCCCAGCACGGAGCGAGGGTGTTGGCTCCTTCCCTGGCGTGTGGGTTGCTGTGGGCAGGGGGCTGGCTGGAGCATGGGGCAGAAACGGCTGTCGGGAAGGTGCGGGTTTCCATTTCCCAGCACATGAGTCACCTCCCTGGGTTGCAGTAGCATGGGCAGCGGCGGGAGCGGGTGCGGGGGGGCTGATCCGCCCCTGCGGGCGCGTGGGAGGCTGGGAGGGCGCAGGGAGCAGTCCCACCCTGCCTGCATCCCAATTGCCAGGAAGCATTACTGGGGAGCCGCGAGCCGGGCTCGCCGTAGTCAGAGCTTGGCTGCGTCAGCTCTGTAGAGCTGGATCTAACTTTGCAGTTGGACCGAACAACCTCCAGAGATCTCCTCCTACTGAAATCCTTCTGCAAATCTGGGATCAGAGCGTGTCTGTGTCCTTCCCATCACACAGGCCAGTCTGACCTTCAGCTGCGAGCTCTCGGTAGAAGGAGGAGGTCTGTGGGTTTGGGGCTGGGGAGGGAGGTCTGTCTGAGAGCCTCTCTTCCCTGCTGTGTGGGGTAGTTCTCTCTGGGGATAGCTGCTCCCTCCCTCCCCTGCCATGTATTTCCAGGTTTCTGGAGCCCCAGCTACTCCTGAGAAACTTGGAAACTTGCTTACTTGCCCCGTGTCTGATGTCTAATAAATGCCTTGTGCTGGGACCCAGTGGTGCTAGCAGCTGTGGGGCAGTGTCACCGGCAAAACAGTCTCGACGTGGGGAACTTTTGTAAAATTTTATGCCCATGAACACAAACTTTTAATCACAGATTCAGGTATTGAGAAAAAGGAAACTTGAACAATCAAATGCTTTAATAAATGCCTTTCCTCCCTCTTCCTCAGGCCTACACCAAACACCTATCCTGCCCCATCTCAGTCTCAGCTTCCCCCATTTTCACTGCAGATAATGCTCGGTCTGTCCCAATTCCTTCAGTGTGGCCACAGGCAGCACGGGAGACTGGGGACTCGTGTGTAACAGTTTATATCTGCTGCTCTTTGCTTTTTACTTGTTCTCTTTTGCTGTGGTGAGGGTCGGTCGTGGTCCCTCTGGGGTATCCCTGCCCTGGCGTGGGTCCCCCGTATGGCAGTTGTGATGTGTCCTCCTGCGCACCTCTGGCTCCTAGAGGCTGCCACTCTATTGTAAATCAATCTGTGCGAGGTCACCACGTGCTCTTCTGACAGGCTGACTTTTTGGGGTGCAGTCAGGTGTTTAAACTGGTTTCAGAGCCAGCCAGCTGTGAGAGGCACGTGGTATTTCATGGCCTCCTCCCGTGCAGGTCACGGCTGCGGCCCCCGGCTACCCGGACCCTGCAGCGTGTGCCCAAGGCGGGGCTCCGGTGCACGCAGGCAGGAGCCCTGTGGCCTGTGCCCAGCGCAGGCAGCTGAGCTGCGCTGGTCCCCCGGGGCAGCACCAGCCGTGCCGGAGCTGGTCTCAGCTGCCTGTGCAACAGGGCGGCACTGGGAAGACCCTGGGAGATGGATTGGGTCTGTTGTTTTCTCTGACAGAGGAAGCCAAAGAATTCCCGCATGAAGCGCTTCCCCTGCTGTTCGGCATCAAACTGGCGTGTTCTTCCGAGTGAGCCGCTCTCCCCATTGTCTACGGAGGCATGCAGCCATCAAGGGCCCCTCTGACCCTCCTGGCTGCCTCCTGTCAGGAGCATTCAAGGTGTGAAAAAGCTTCTTGTAGACCTCAGACCCATATGGAGTAAGGAGGGCCCACCCAGGGGAGGGAGGCAGAGAGAGAGGGGCAGTCTACGTGGCAGAGACATGCAGTTGCTGGAGCTTTCCATCATGGGACGTTGGTAGTCACCTACGTTTTGGGCCACCCTGGGCTCCGGCTGGGGCGGGACCTTTGTGGGGTAGCCTGTTTAACAGTTTGGTAGCCATCTGCACAACCAACTTACAGAGAAGTTTGGATCCCTTTATCCCAACCACAAACACTCCAAGAATTTTAATTTTTTTTTAATTCTGTAATTTGGGGAAATAAAACTCTGGTTTCTGAAAAGACTAATTGAAGCCGTGCTTGCGGCAGGGGCATCTCGGTGAGGGGAGAGAGAGAAACCCCCTCCCAGCCCATCTGTGCCCAATTTACTCCGATCTGGCCTCTCTGAGGCTTTTTTTCTTTCTCTCTCTCTTTAATAATTTGTTTTATAATTCCTGGAATCAAACCCATCTCAGACACACTGTTTTATTTTACTGTATTATTGGATTATACTTCCTATAAATCACTGGATGTTATTCATAGGCCACCACCAGAATAACTTCCCCTCTCCCCCCCGACGGCCCCGCATTCCAAACAAGCGCACACCAAAGTGGGGGTGCAGCAGTGCGGGGCACCCTAGAGACACTTCCCGGAAATCCCAGCAAATTTGCCTGGCTGTGGGTGTGAAGCATCAGGCTGCAGCACCTGGATGCCTTCTGGCACTCTCGGGCCGGTCGCGTTGTGCCGTGTGGAGGTTGTTAGGAGGTCGGGCTTAGGTGGAAGTGGAGAGGGGAGGGGGCTGCCATATGTGCATCCTCAGCACATGTAGGAATGAAGTTGCATCCCCCGGGGCCGAGCAGAGTCGGGGCACAGAGGCACGGGGAGGTTCTGGCCAAGTGCGCGGCTTTAGCTGAGGATTCAGAAAGTGGCTTGTGTTTCAGCCAGAGGAAAGTTTTGGCAGGGCACGGTGACCAACCTGTAGGTCGTCTGCTCTGCCAAGGCTGATGGATGAGGAGGAAGACCTGCTACTTGAGTGGCAGTCTCACTGCCAAAGCTCATGTGGGACATGAGGAGGGTTTGAGGGGGCAGCCAGCGTGGCAGGGTCAGGCTGGGCTTTGGTTCGCGGCCCTCCCGGTTCTGTCTCCATGAGTGGAACATGGTCCGGTTTTCTATGTGAGATAGGGTTGGCTGGGAAACCTTGAAGGCTTGTGCAGAAAGGGAGGATTCATACCCCACTCCCTGCTGCAAATTCAGAGCAGCATCTGTCCCCTTTGCACTGCCACACCAGTGTCCTCAGAGCAGCGTAGAGTAGGTCAATACTGCACAGGCCACTTGGTGTCGAGATACTCTGCCTGGCTTACAGAGAGCCCCTGTTAGGTGGTGAGTGTTCACTCACTACAGCCTTTGCAAGGGTTTGCT